CCTGAGTTAAGGTGTCCACTTTCGGATAGAAAAACTGGTAAATGGTCGTGGATACGCGATGCTGTGTTGACAAGCGACGATGATCTTATGCGTTATGCTGGCCTGGATGCAGCAGCGTTTATACGACTTCTGAAAATGGGGATAAAAATCTCGTTAGTGGGATGTTTTAACTCAATATTCCTCATCCCTATATACAAATACCAAGATCGCAATGATGGGTCCAACGAAAGCGATACTATGCAGTCGTGGAGTCTAGGTAACCTCCTCAATGGTGACTCGGCGATGATCGCTACCCTCTTGGCATCTTATTTATTCTATGGTTACTCTATGTATCTCATTTATCATGAGTTTAGTTGGTATCTACGCAGACGTCATGAATTTCTGGCTCGCAAGAGTTTGGAAAATTACACGATATTTGTGCGTGGCCTGCCGCAGGAATTGCGTTCGAATCAAGCATTGAGGAATTTCTTCGAAGAAGTCGCCCCTGGGAAGGTATTGGATGCTCGAGTGGCTCTGGACATTGACGATCTGGAGAAGCAGGAAGCAGATAGGAGTAAGATTATACCCAAGCTGGAGCATGCTTATAATGTTGCCGAGTATGAAGGGGAGCGTCCAGAGATGAAGATTAAGATGTGTGGTAAGGAGAAGATGGACACTATCACAGTATTGGAGAGACGACTAGCTGCATTGAATCGATACTGTGAGAGGACTGTCCGATCAGCGGAGGACTTCCAAGAGAAGGCTGATGAGCTGTTCCGGGAGCAACTAGAGGAAAAGGAGAAGAGGGAAGAGGAAGCTGAGCAGGGATTGAGTAAGCAGTTGATTAATCTAACTAAGGCCCCTGTGAATATCGTTAAGGATGTTGCTGATATAGTACCTCTACCTAAGGCTCTAATGCCGACTAACCTCCTACCCTTTGGAGAGAAGCCTGCCTTCCAGACTAGAAGTGACGGTTTTGTAACTTTCCGTTCATTAAAGGCCTCTATGTCGGCTTTACAGATGGTGCATTCAGCTACACCATTCAAGTTGTATGCTATGCCGGCTCCCCTGCCAGATGACGTGTTCTGGGATAATGTAGGTGTACCTCATATGAGGCAGGATTGGGTATGCTACTCTCTATCTCTCTAACGGTTGTCTTATGTGTGTTCTGGACGGTACCTGTGG